ATTTTCCAAAAATTGTATTTTTGCCTAATTATTTAAGCGAACTTTGCCTTATTTGTATTGCAGTTGCCTTATTTGTATTGGTTAGCGTCTCGTAAGTATTGTGGTGGGTGGGTGTGTGCGTGCGCCCTTTTGTGGCGACGGGCGAGTTTTTGATAAGCGTTAGCGATAAGTAAATTAATGGCGAGGTTGTGCGAATATGAAATGTTGTTTTTGTGGTAACATTTTGTAGGAATTAAAACGGGTGAGCAAATTTCGCAGAAAACAGTTTTTGATAGCATATTTAAATATGTTATCGTAATGTGAGCATACCATGATTTATATGTAATATAGTATGCACATACATACTTTTCTGTTTGAAGTGCGGCGATAAGAGGCATAGTATATATATACCAGCATATATGTATAAAAGTTAATACAAAAAATGTGATAGCAAGAAGAAATAAAATTAAAATAAATATATTTTAAGCGGAAAAATCACCGCTAGGGAATGGTTGTATATAAATAAATTTAATTGTACGCACTTTACTTGGCTCAAAAAATTGCAACTCACGAATTTATTGCAATATTTCACAAATTTTTCCCTATAATGTAAATTGGTATTTTAAGGTGTAACTAAATAAATATATATGATATAATATATATATATACATATACAACAGCTTTTGCCAACATATTCTGGAAAATTCATTACACTGATAAGGCACTAATATCCACTTATTGAATAAAGGCATGCGAGGTGATTAGGCGTGGCACAGTTTGCTAGTGCTAACAACACTAAGTGTACATAGTACATACATACATACATATCTAATTTTTAAATAGAAACTCTCAACCAGTTTGATGATCGCCTTTTTACCTGTTAAGTACATATATATATATATGCATCTCTATTTATGTATGCTAAATCTTCAAATGTCAAAAATTACTGAAATGCGTAAATGTGCTAGATGGAAGATACATACATATGTATATTGTCACATAAATGCAAATGATTAATTTTGCCGGAAAATTGTTTGTTTATTTTGCAAATATTTGTTGCTCATTCATTTTAGGACAGTTTTTTGCAATTTTTAGGCAAAATATATAAATAAAAAATTAAAATTATATAAAAACATTCATTATATTTAAATACGAAAATTCAGCTCGTATGAGATGTTGACATGAAATGTCAATAAATCCAGTTTTAAGTTTATATTATGTATTCCAAATTCAATTATGCAGTTTTTTCACAAATTTAACCGATTAACTAATTGCTTAAATCGGGATTGAATTAAAAACTAAAATTTTTTAATAATTTTTATTAGTTTTATTAAACAAATTATTAGTTAAAAATAGTTTAATTATCTGGTTATATCAAAATTATGCACAAAAAAAATTAATAAACATTATTAAGTACAGTGCTTTGAAAAAATTACTGATTTAATCCAGTTTTACTATAAAACTGCATAATTAAAATTAATTAAAAAATTAAAATTAATAGTTAAAAAATCATCATAAATCATAATTATACAGAAAAAAAATTAATAAACAATATTGTGTTCAATGCTTTGGGGAAATAACTTACTTGAGCCAGTTTTACAGCGAAACTTGGCATGTGAGATCAATGAAAACTGTTTTCAATTATAATAAACAGTGTTGAGTTCGTAGTGAAAGAAAAAATAATTCTTTTGTAAAAATAGTTTAACCTTCATAATCGTAAATTCAGCGGCTTCTTTAGCCATTGCAACGCAACCTAACTCAACTAACATTTGTTTCAAATATTTATTTCATATATATATCTTGCATTATTTTTTATTTCTACGTATTTTATTTATTAACGAATCGCTACTTACTTTTGGTAATGGTGAAAGAGCCGCACTAAACGGCAAGCTCAGATAGTCTTCACTAAAAATATTGTAGTTGTCGAGCGTCATTTTCACTATCAGTAGCTGTAGCTTTCTTTACAAAAATCCAAAATAAACCACACACAGTTCAGTTTAGCTCAAAATTGTTTTCTGCTTCTTTGCTGTCTTTTTTTCTTTTAAATGCTGATAATTTCGCTCAAAATGTTGTCAATGAGAAAACAAAGAAAAAAGAACGATATCAAAAAAACACCGTCTAGCGAATTGTATTAACAGCACTTCCGGTGATTTATTGCCACAAATTTCCCCACCACAATTTCGTTTATTTAATATGTTTAATTAATTAAATATTGCATGCTTCCAGAAACGTATAACGTCTGCAATATTAGACGCAGATCCTCTTATGCGTATATGTATATGTATGTATATTCGTATTTTGCTCCAAATGCGACCACAAACGGCCGAATAAATAGATGACTCAAAGACGATTTCTAGTGAAAACGTTTTATAAATAAATGTTAACACGTTAATTTTGCAGGTATTGTTGTTGTTGCTGCTGCCACCTCTGTTTTAGCGTTTCATGTGTTGTTTGTTGTGCTCGATTTGTTTAGTTCAGTTCAGTTGTTTTTCGAACGCGCAGAAACGTAGTACATACGTATATATCTAGTATGCAAAGAGCGCCAAAAGTCGCTTGACGAGTTCACAATTAACAAATACAAATGTGTCTTTTTTATTTTAACGCATATAAATTAATTTGAATACTTTGTTTTTCAAATTATAATTTTTTTTTTGGATTTTTAATTAAATATTTTTTGTAAAATTTTATTTGCACGCACTGTGAGCAAATGCCAAGTGTTTAGCTTAAATTTCTGTTTTTTTTTTTACTATTGCTTCTTTTCTACACTTCTTTTCGCTTGTGTAAGAAATACATTTCAAAAATAAATAACCGACAAATTTATTTTAGTTTTTGCTAAACTGTTTTCAGTGTTCTATTCCCACACAAATTAATAGCGTTTTGTTTTTATTTTGCGCAAATTTGTATTGCGGTTTCGTCAACAAAGCCAAACGCGAATTCTTACTTCTCACTACTTTGCCACTACTAAAGTCTTCAACGTATTGAAATTGACTGAATGCGTCATCGTTATGAAATTTCGTTTTTATATGAAATGTCGCCAATGTGAGCGTATTCCGACGACAATACCAACCATACCGACCGTCAGCTAAAACATTTGCGAAGGCGCTGGCGATAACAGTTGAGTGCGATTGCATACTCGTTCGTAGCAATGGTAAAAATCAACATTGAAGAAGAAAAAACTCTAATATTTTGCTCATTTTTTAAATGTGCTCTCTCACTGGTCGTCCCTCATTTGCTCAAAATGCTCACGAAACTTAACAGCAGCACTGCCACTCAAAATTAGCACAATTTTATAAGCTCACCACGGCGTATGAGCGACATTGGGTACGCACTCAATTGCCATTTGCACAGCTGGGGGCCGTATGCCTGAATTCGATTTGTGAGTGAAATGGATAAGGCTACTAAAATCAGTGCCAAAATGTTGCTGCTAATTTTCAAACATCCATATAGACATACTCATACATGCATGCACATATGAAGATATATATATATATATGTACATAAAAACAAACACATTCAATGCCTTATATTAAGTGGGCATTCCGAATTTGAAGATTTTTTCATTTCCACATTTTTGTTATTTTTTTTTTGATAATTTTCTTGGAATTTCCTTTAGCACTGTTGTTGAGGTGTATGAGAATGTGTGCTGCTTTTTCGATTGTACAAAAAGTATCGCGTGATTTTTTGGCAAGTTTACTTACATACATATGTATGTTATGTATATATGTAGATAGAAACGTGTGCATACTGGTCGTACATGGGTGGAGGCAGTGACGTAGTGCCTGAATTTCAATTAATAATTTTTGTGTGCGTATTTCTTGGCATTTTAATTTTCTCATTATCTACTTGTTCACAAAACATTTTCAACTTATTTACTTTTTCATATACTCACTCTTATCATATGCGCTTTAGCTGTTGTTTTGTTTATCTTTATTTCTTCCCTTGAATTCATTATACTTATTGCTTTTTATCTACTTGTTAATATATTATATATATACGTACATATGTACATATGTATGTAAGTATTTTTCTATATCTTCATGTACAGTCACACATGTGACATAATTAACTAATTTAAAAAAAAAATATTTTTTCCGCTTTTCAGTTAGAATGCATTATCGCACAGTTTTACGAATAAAAATTAAAGTGATAAGAATCTAATAATATTAATAATGATCAGCTATTAGTATATTTCAAAGTGGTGCTAGAAACATATTCCTCAATTTTATATACATTTTTTAGCTTTGAATTAAAACCCTTGATCAGGCTAGACAAATATATATTTGTCTGTCCCCCCTGTAAAGCGTGGAAATAGCTAAAATGGGTTTGAAATAAAAAAGTTTGCTCAAAAGCCGCATTTTTTATATATGTAGCTTTTCTGCTCTCACTTCAGTTGTTGCAAGTCTGAAGATATCAAGAAAAATGTAATATTTTTAATTTGTGGAAATTAGAATAAATCAAGAAAAATTTTGCTTGTTTTCCCGCGAGCTTCGTCCACATGAAATTTCAAATACTAATACTAATAACATTTATAAGGTTTATTAAATAATTAATTTATTGATTGTATCTATCCTGTGATGTTTTTCCAATGGAGGGACCTACAGTTTATACTAAGCCGCCTCCGAACGGCTGATGGTTTTTTATGTGGAGCCTTTCTCCATGTCCGAAATATAATCGGAGGAGTATTACTTTTTATTTTAAATTAATTTTCGATTACCTAAAGGAATGTTGATGGCACCGGGATGTGAACCCGAGTCTTCCGAATGTCAGTACGCAATGCTAAGCACTCGGCTATTAATTATAGTTTTCTCATTTAACTTCAATATATTTTACTTTGCTTAATTTAATATTTTCTATTTTATTTAATTTTATTTTGCATTCTTTTTTAAATTATTTTATTATTCAAATTTTTAATTTTACCTTATTTCATTACATATTTTTCAAATTACTTTTTATTATTTATTTAGTTAAGCCCTTTGATTTCATTTAACTTAATTGAAATAAACTTAATTTATTTTATTTTATTTTTTTTTTTTATATTTAATTTTGGTTTAGTTTATTCCTTTTGAACACCTGCGTCTATATTCTTGATAAGAAAACAGCTGCAAAAATTATGTATACTTTTCAATTGAAAGTTTTACTAACAAAGAGCTATTTGCCATATATACACGTGTGTGTTTGTATGCTTGTACACTATTTGTTTAATGTATTCCGTATTTTAGAAATAGTGATAGTAAAAACACTGTTGTAAAAAAAAATTATTTCAAAAATTTTTGATAAAAAGGTATAACAGCGTTGTCATAATCATATGTATGTATGTATGTAGGTACAAAAAGATAAGCAAAACTTTGTTTGTAATTTTAACTATTTCTCAACTATTATAATTTTTTTGTTCGGGCTCGTTTGTGTTCTTTGGTTACCACATGGCTATGGCTATGGCTATGGCAATGGCTATGGCAGTCCCGGTATTACTAAGCAGATTCTAAGCAATAATAATAACTGTATTTTTAATGTTTTACTTACGACTTAATCCTTTACACTTTGATTAATTATTTAAATAAAGTAATGCTTACCTGAAACGAGAAGAGGAAAATAATGTAAGAAATGGTTTTGCAATAATATAATTTATATAGTATTATTTATAACAATAAGGTTTATATTTTTTTGTAAAAGATATGCATAAAATTGAGGCAAATCTAGTAAAATATCCTTACATGCATGTAACCAACATCATGACATAATACCAAGTACTTCACATACATATTACATACATATGTATGTATAATATAATCAATGTAATATGTATGCAATGCAAGCGCCGTTTGTACATTGAACATGAAGGACATTCATTTATATTCGTTTAAATTTTATGTACAAATACGGACATTTGTGTCGTATGCAAACGTGTTCGATGCTGAATTCCCATTTTTATATGTAGATATGTACAATATATGTACATATGTAGAAATGTTGCAGAAGTCATGACGCCTTATAAATTTACATAAATATGCAAACAACAAACACTGTGAGAAATCGTTGAAAAGTTGAGGATAATTAGCTGCTGCCAAAGTTAAATATTTCAAAGTTATTTGCAAGGAGCGCAAGCTGTGTACGGAGTAAATCTGAATTTCTGGAGACTTGTTTTTGCTAATAATTTTTAGCGATTTTACTTTTATCGCCATAATATTATATACGAATATATGGATGAAAATGGTTAAGAATTTGTTGGATCAAATTCATTTTCTTTCGGAAATATTTCTGTACTAAAAAGTGAAAAATGTAGCCTCAATAAGGTGTTTTTCTTCGGTTAGTTTCCAATCCGGCCCATTTTAGCGGCAAGATTACTAAGGAATATGTTGATCTTCTGTTACGAAATTAAGGGAAACACCTCGTGTAATCGCCTACAAAAGTTGATTTTTGGGAATTTTCATAAAAAAAAATACTTCATGAATTATTTCAAAATTTTAAGAATATATTTATGAATGTTGCAAGAATATACAGCGAAATTTTTGAAGAAAAAAATTTAATATTATTCAAGTTATAGTCGATCTCCAACGGCGCGAAAAAAATGTCCTTCACTGCTGCAGTGATTCCGGCCTTCTCTGTGGATGAAATCTAAATAAAAATTCTCGTTAAACTAGATAATATTGTCTGTACAATGACCCACCCAAAAATAATCAAAAATTGACAATATGGCGGCGTGTAAAAAAAAAAAAAATCGATTTTACCCAAAATTTTGGTCGTTTTTGGCCTGCCAAAATTCGATTTTTGATCAGATGAAAAATGGATAGGCCATTTGTTTTTGAGTAATCACTGCAGAAAATACGGAAAATGCTATTTCAAGAAAAACACGTTTAAAGATAAAATGATCGTTTTCACTCGTAGCTAATGAGACTCTCTAGCTGCCGATATTTTTAAAGGTGTAATCTATCGAAGTATGAAAAAAAGATCGATTTTTTTGAAATTTCACACTAGGTGGGCCACTCAAGCATATACCGTTTGAGAGCTGTAATATATAACCTCCTTTGCAAACATCTGTTGTTCAAGGGTATGCATCGTTTTAGGACTTTTGGGTTTCAATCAACCAACTCACTATTGTAAATCGTGTAAATTTACTACTAAAATATTTGTTCGGTTCGTGCGACGCATAGAGGCTGCGTGCTATATTCGGTTGACATACTATACCAGCAAACTCGGTACTACGAACAACCATGGATCGGTTTCTTACCACGTTTACTCTAGTGGATAATGCCCATCCTCAAAGAAACTGTACAGAGCACCGAAGCTACTGCTGTTGGAGAGGCGTGTATAGAAGAAGACCTGAATGAGCTCAACCACTATATGAAAGATTTTGTGGAAGAATCTTAGCTAGCGAACTTACAAAATTCAACTCGTGCATGAATTGCAGCGGAACGACTATCAAGCGCGTTGTTCGTTCGATAAATTTCTCAAAACGATTTTTCGTTTTCAATTTTCAAAAGAAAATTTTGAGCAGCTACGAAGTTCACTTTCGCTTGAATGGCCTACAGTGACATACTCAAAAAGTCACTGTTTGGTGCGTTCTGTGGCTAGTGAGAATCATTTGTCCATATTTTGTTAGAAACGAAGCCGGTCATAATCTTAGAGGCAATGGGGAATGCTATATAACCGTTAATCAATTTATTGTAGAGAGCCTTTGGATAGCGTATTATCTCGCGACGTGGGCCTATGGCGTGACCTCCTAGATTGTGCCATTTTTTTTTACTATTTTTTGGGTGCCTATGTCGATTATCTAGGCAGATAACCCCGAGACGATTGGCGCCAAATCAATTACTAGCATGTAATCACTTTCAAGCCATAAAATGGCAAACCCTTATGTTTATAATAAAGCAAAATTCTTGGACACATCATAAAATTATTTGCGTTTTATTTCTTCATGAAAAACAACAGGTCTTAAAAATACAAACTAGTGCTCCGCAAAAACCTTGGTGATTCCAGTCTTTCGTTTTCTCGAAGTACGAGTATTTACTTATCTCGGATCAAAATCTGCTAGAAAATTCCTATTTCTATTTGATTAAAGACGGCTACGTTAAAGTTTTTAATTAACAGGCTTACTCTTATCACTTAACGTGAAGAGCGTTCTAAGTTCGATCCCAGTTGAACAGTATCGATAAAGATACCATTAAGCCGTAGATATACTGCTAATATCACAACATTATTCTGAACATCACGAACCGAACGGTGGCTCTGACAGTTTTGCATGAAATTATAGAAAACTATTTATTCTAATTCTGGTCTCACCTGCGCAGGGTATGGCAAGCCTTCCGAGTGTATTTCTGACATGAAAATCAGAGCTCCTTATAAGAATGTTGGAGGGGGCTTGGTATGAGCTGTTTTTGTTTTTTGGAAAACATCAACACGAATACCACAAATTGAAGGAGGAGCTTGGCCGGAAATTGCTTTAGCGGGCATAATTATTTAGAAACACTGTCAGAAATGTTATTTCAGAAATAAATTTACTTGAAAACCCTCAAATATTTCTATTGAAGCCAAACACAATTGCTTTGGTTAGATTAGCGTATAATTTGTTCCCCTCTCAGTAAACTGCTGCAAAAAAAGTAGGGGAACAATAATCAAGCTAATTCTATAAGTACAACATGACTTCCTTTGTAATGACATCCATTTTTTGTACAAAACTTTACAGCTTCTTAAGTTTTAATTTTTTCTTTTCTAAAAATACTAATAACGTTTTGTGGAAAAATCGTTATGGGTTTATAACAAGATAGCAGTATATCCATATATATATATATATATATATAAAAATTCATAGCACTAAAATTAGCTGAAACACTTCTAATATTTTATAAATTTACACAAGCTTACATATGCTATATAAGTACTTATGTATATGCATTTCCATGGCCATTGGCTTATCAACAATTTGCCTTTTATGGTAAAATCGCGCGCATGTGTATGTGCTATGTCAGCACAGTCGTACACATGTATGTATGTATGAGCATATTGTGTTGAAATATTGTGATAAGAAATTCAAAGAAAGTTGACTGTTTTCCAATACGCCTTATGGTTTGCTGGTAAATTTGTTTGATACAAGAAATATCGAATTGCTGATTTATTTTTTTTTTTTTTTGAAATATGTATGTACGAGTATAATTTTTTTTTGTTTTTATTGATTACCTCATTAGCGGTATACATACTACATACATATTAACTAAGTAACTACGAAATTCCAAGAAACTGCAATCACTTACTGACGTCAATGATAAATGATGATGTATTGAATTATGTAATGAATTCAGTGGTATAACAAACTATCTACATATATACATACATATATATTTATTTATGCATGTACGTATATTGCAAAAAAAAAAAACAAATAAATACAACTATATACATATATGTATGAATGTTATAAGCACTAATACTTAAATGTATGAATGCATGTTTCTATTGACAGCAAAATTCTTATCACATATGTATGTATGTATGTATGCACGCACTTCTGCCAGCCGTCTATTTTGGCGATATCTCCGCACTGATAAGTGTTTGTGTTGTCGCCACAAAACTAAACCGACACAGTTGCTTTAATCCCCCTAAACGTGCTGTGGCGACTATTTTTGGCAACGCAAATCATAATTTATTGTGTTAGTGTGATTATAAGTTTTCTATTTTCTATTCACGTCTGTTTGTTTGGTCGAGTCAAGGTTATACGCCTATTATTGAACACTTCTGTATTATTGTGCATTTATATGTAGGCGTAAATATAGTTTTCAAAGTATATATAATATATATTTTTTTATAATAATAAGAAAACATTAAAAATCTGCAAATATGAATTTCGTTTTGCTTCGGTTGACCATCTAAAACAAGTCCATTTCTTTATTTGCGGTTTCCTAAAGCAGCGATTAAAAATATACATAAAATCATCCAACAATTTAGGCTTATTCTCCGATTCATAGTCTAGCTGAGGCTTTCCAGACTTTAGCTATTAGATTTTTATGAAAAGCTCTTGACTATTTTAACATTAGTTAGGAAATTGATTTCGGTCACGTAGTATGCACTTAAATTAAACGATTTATAAGAATCATAGACTTTTACAATTTTTTCGTTAAATGTCCATAAGTTGATATTTCTAACCGACAACGCTTTTAAAAGGAACAAGAGAGGAAGACAAAGGTCCGCTGGTACCGAACATAACATACTCGGCTGATATTGTACTAAGACGAGAAGAGGTTTATAGGTCCACAAATATACCAACTGATAAAGGCTAAGAACTTTGAAGTAAATTTGAGTGACCAGGAAAAACTTGCTTGGTAATGTTTTAAGATTATTGGCCAGAACTTTCTTGGGATCTAATATAAATTAGAAAATTATAAAGAATTAATAAACGAACTTATATTATCATATAAAGCTTTGGAGTCTATTATGTCATTAAAACTACATATATCGTACTCTCATTTGGATTTCTTTCCGACAAATTTTTGTGCAGTGAATGACGAACGAGGTGAGAGTTTCGATGAGAACATTTCCTTAATGGAAAAGCGTTATCAAGGGAAAATAGTTTAGAAATGGT